TCTCTCTCTCTCTCTCTCTCTCCCTCTCCCTCTCCCTCTCTCTCTCTCTCTTTCTTTTCCACCTGGAGATAGATTTTACCATATAGTCTAGGCAGGCCTCAAACTCACTATATAGCCTTAGGAGGCCTTGAATCCACAACCATCCTGCCTTGACCTCCCAGTTACTAGGATTATAGACACATCACACCATGCCCAGTTAGAAAAACAACTCTGAACTATTATTTGAAAATAGGGTACTAGGACATCAATCTGTGTCTTTAAATACCATTTTATATTAAATCCAGAATCCCCCCTGCCTTTATTCATTGACCTCAAAAAATTCTTGTGTATGTTTGTATGACCAGTTAAAATTTTTGTTAGTTTGAGAAGGGGTTTCATGAGGTTTTACTACATTGCCTAGGCTGGTCTTGAACTCATGAGCTCAAATGATCTTCCTTTCCTGCAGCTTGGACTATAGGCATGTGTCATTATAGCCAGGGATTTTTTTTTTTCTTTTTTTGGAGACAGAGTCTCCCTGTACCCCCAGCTGACTTGGAACTTGCTATGTAGACTAGGCTGGCCTCAGTCTCACAGAGCTTTCCCTGCCTCTGCCTCTGCTTCCACCTCTTGAGTGCTGGGATTAAAGGTGTGTGCCACCACACCTGACCCATAGCCAGCTTTTAAACTGTTTTTAGGTACACAGTTCAGTGGCATTCATACTCTGTGCTTTTAGTTATTTAGAGACTAGGTCAGAAGGGAAAAGCAAACACTTCTACTTTTGTTTTTATGTGTTCCTTCTATTGTCAGGCAGTTTGCTGGGCTCTAGAAAGCTGCTACATACCAACAATTTAAAAAAAGTTCAATCCCATAATCAGAATTCCTTTTTGTTTCAGAATCATACATAGTCTTTCCAAAAGTGCCTAGAGAGATAGCCACATATTCTGATATTTGTGTGCAAATTGAAACTATACTAGCAGTGTATTTGAAGAGTAATATTCAATAAGCCCATAGAACCTTGAACTTTTTTATTCTTTGAAAATTATCTTAAGATCTTTGTATTCCCCCTGCCCCCCATTTTGATCTTGTTAATAGTTAAACTTTTGTAAGGGTGTTGTCTTTTCCCTATTGCCTATGATAATTCCTAAAACAGATTGTGTGTTTGAATGTTCATTTTTATTTTCTTGTTTTGATAGATGGAAAAAGCATTTACAATTTACTCAGCTCAAAACCTGGAAGCTTTTCTGTTTTCAGCATTTCCCCACTGTGTGCTAACACAGTCAGCTTCTCTTTATGCACGTGCAGAAGACTTCATTTAATTTTTTAAGAAGTGTTTGTTCTCTTTTAGGAAATCGAAATAGATGGATCTGTCAGTTTTGTAGGTATGATTCATCAGGAGGAGGTGGATTGAGTAAGAAGGAAAATAAATATATGTGGTCAGCCTCCTAAGTTTAGTAATGTTGGCATCAGCTAGCCTTCAGGTGTTAATTTTGCAGAGTCATAGTTGTGAGTTCATATTCTTTAGCAGTGACAGACAGGGTTGAGCATAATTATGTCAACTTCTCCCTCTCTCATCATGCCTCAATATTTAATTTTTTACTTTTAAAAATGATGTTTTGTGGGGCTGGAAAGATGGCTCATCAGTTAAGAGCACTGACTGCTCTTGCAGAGGTCATGGGTTTGGTCCCCAGCTCTCACCTGGCAGCTAACAGCTGTCTATAACTCCAGTTCCAGGGGCTCTGACACCCTCTTCTGGCCTCTGCTGGCATTGCATGTATAGATACACTACAGACATGTAGGCAAAACAATCATACACATAAAATAAAAATAGATTAAGTAATTTTAAAACAATTTACATTTTATTATTTGAAAAATATGTTCTTATAATATTACAGAAATTACCAGGGATTTTGACAAATTTGGTAAGAACTGATTTCATACATTCATACTTCTATTAGAAATAGGGACAAGAAACAAATGTCCTGGTTGTCTTGCCTGCACAGAATTTGTAATTTAGTTGGAGAGCAAGTTTGTTTGTTTGTTTTTATTTTTTTGAGACAAGGTCTCACGCTAGTCCCAACTTGTCTAGAATGTGCTATGCAGACCAAGCTGGCCTTGAACTCACAGAAATCCACTTGCTTCTGCCTCCAGAGTGTTGGGATTAAAGGTTTGTGCTACCATGTGTGGCTTGGCGAGCACGTTTTAACACACGAAATAGATAAGAGAGCAAGTGTACAGAGGCTATAATAAACTTCCTGTGTAGGATATATTTATATTATATATTGCATATATTACATATATTTTATATAAAAATATATCATAGGAGGAAGAGATCTTTTATGTCTTTAGGAAAGATTGTGTAGCAGTGATTAAAAGCACAGACTCTAGAAGCAGATTACCTGAGTTCAAATCCTGGGTCTGCTACTTACTGGCTATATAACTTCAACAAAATTTCTTAGAGTCTTTCTGTGGCTGCCTATTTCCTTGGGAAAATAGTAATACTTACCTCATAGGGATGTTGTAAGGATTAAGTAAGTTAATATGTTCTAGGTGGGTAGACCCCAATATGTCTGTCATATGGTAAGTGGTCAATAAAAATTTAGCTATGATTAAGCTTTATAGAGAAGGTAAAACTTGCATTGGAGCATTAAAGTGGAGGCAGAATTTGGATAAGCAAAGAAATAAAAAAAAGTCTCAAAATAGTATTCTTAAGCTATATGTGTTTTATACCCATTTCCCTGGAGAGGAGAAAAATATCTTAGAAATTAAGTCATATAGAGAAAAAAAGAAAACCCTTATTTTCAACGTTTCAACTTGTTATTTCAGCAAAGGCTTATATTTTCAGTTTTACTTTGTTTTTCTTTAACCAGAGCTGCTTATACAATGAAGTTATTTTCTATAATTAGCATTTACTAGTAGCTGAATTCCTAAAATACTGGATATATTAGAAAAAACTTAGTCCAAGAAAAATTCCAAGATAGTCAATATTTATTTATTTTTCCTTAAAGTGTGGCTGGTATGGGGAGTGTAGTTGGAATGGAAAGAAGACAGGAGGAGGATCGCCAGTTACAAAGGAACAGTGTTTGATAGAAGGATAGAGGAGAAAGGATCTAAAAATGTTGATAGGAGTTTGGAGAGGACATAGCTATTCTGAGGTTCCTGATGATAACTCTGGGAAATGAGCGCATAGTTACCTGAGGACTCATTGATTACTTGAAAGCTTCTGACTAATACCTGGTGACAGTGGAGACATCTGGTCTTACCAGTCTCAACTTACCAGAATAGATCACATCAGAGAAGAATGCCTATGAGGCTAGAGGTGTAGAGTCCATGCTTAGGGTAAGGCCATGGATTCAGGCAATCAATCAGCCTCTCTCTGTCTCTGTCTCTGTCTCTCTCAGAGGGGGAAAGGGGTAGACACAGAACTCTGACTCTGACTATGGCTGCTGCCTCAGATTAGCTGAAAATATGATAAAAGCTTTACTGGAATAGAAGAGCTTCCAGGTGTACACAGAGGTACAGGATGCTCTGAGCAGTCTATTTAAATAAAACTTATTTGTTGCACAAGAGCATTATAGTGGCAATAAACAAAAGTATTAAAGTATTAAGAATATGTCTATTCTCACTATTTTGAGATTTTTTTCCCTTGATCCATCTCTTTTTACATTTTTTCCTGAGATAAGTACTAAAAGATATTATAAAAGGGGGCTGAAGAGATGGCTCAGTGGTTAAGAACACTGACTATTCTTGCAGAAGACCCAGGTTCGAATCCCAGCACCCACATGGCAACTAATAACTGTGCCCTAGTTTTTTTTTTTTCCATTGCTGTGTTTTTTCCTCGAACTCACAGAGATCCACCTGCCTCTGTCTCCCAAGTGCTGGGATTAAAGGTGTGCACCACCGCGACTGGCTAAATAATAAAATATTTTTAAAAAAAGATATTATAACAGCTATAAAGGATTTTTAACACCACTTGCAGACTGCCTTCCCCAGCCAGCATTTTCTAAGATTAAAGTTTGTGCTCAATGGTGCATCCTTCTCTCTTTCTAAAAAAAAGTTTTATTTATTATTTTTATTTTATGTGTATGAGTGAATTGCTTACATGTGTGTAAGTGCACTCATGTAATGCCTGAGGAGGTCAGAAGAGGGCGTTGGATC